AGGAGGGCGCTTATAACATTTTCCTTTAAACGGACAGGAGAATTTGAATTTCCTTGTATCCCTCCTATTTAAGAAAGTGAGGGGAGCACTTATTCGAGGAAATACTGTGACAATGGTTTCTAATCATAATTTACAGCCAGACGTTACTAGCGATTTTACAAGACTCGTCTTCAGTCCTCTTTTACCATAAGTTAAGAAGCGATCGATCGTTTACTTTTTGTTTGAAATGCATCGAGGCGAGTCAGGTGTCGGGGTGTCCCACGCTCCTCGGTACATTTGAAACTGAGATGGCAGCCCGTTATTTTGAACGCCCGGTCGCTCACCCTCTTCCCCAGGGCGTTTTCCCCTGGCTTTGGAGGTAAAAGCCAGGCAAAAGCGCCCTAGGGACGAGGTTGTCGGTCGCTACGATCTTACGAAAAATGGGGACTGTAGTCTATGCACTTCATATAATGAGTTTAAAAGGAACTAACATTTTGAGAAAAGCGCTAAAAGTTTCCTTCTAACCCCTACATAAACAAAGCATCTAGGATGATCTATCACATGGCAGTTTTCTTTCCTTGCCATCACTGCACTGCGGGTCAAATTAGGGCCTATGTACAAGAAGGGAGGATGTTCCTTGCTGGGATATCAGTTTGCAGCTACTTTTAAAAAGTAAATTCGAGCCCTTGTAGTCATCAGCTTGATCGTTATCATGATTATATAAACACATGAACAGAAGCCGGGAAAAAAGTCTTAGTAGTTGCCTTCTGCCCTTGGGGCTACGCATGTTCTCACAGTCTCAGACGATCTTATGACAAGGCCTTCTCTAAAAGTGCGTTTAGAGACTGGCGCACGATGATGGCACTGAAGATAATTTAAGTCCTTATAAGGTGATAAGGAGAGAACATCAAGAGAGAATAATAGGATGGAGAGGGCATCACCCACTCTATTAAGCCTTAGGGATATGTGACTTTCACCAAAGTTATTTTTAGATCAATTAAACGCTCGAATTATTCGGAAGTAGGGTTCCGGAGAGGTCCGCAACTTTTATTTAGCGTTGTCAAGAGAGAATTCAACAGTCGGCATTACAAATATTCTGCATTTTTTGCTTTGAGAACTTGATTTCAGGACTTAATTAAAATGTGCGGACGTCTCAGGAATAAGACTTTAATTATAACGTCTAAAAATAACTTTAGCGAAATTCACATATTCCGGCCAGGCCTATTATACTCTCCTGGTAGCACAAAACAACATTTCGCACTCGGTAAAAATTATCTTTTACATTTGAAAAGGAGTAAAGGAACTTTTAGAAATACCCTCTTTCTCAAAAGCCTCATTGCTTCTTGAAGAAAGTCGATATAAGCCCTGTACCAGTGGAAAGTAAGCCCTAGCGACCTTCAGTAAACTTTCAGAGGAACCTACGGTTATATGGTGGACTATACGAAATAACAAATGTACTGTACAGAAATTTTACTGACACTATCAAAGACATGTTGGTTTGTTACTTGCCAAGTGAAATAGACTGCCAAAGGTCCCAGGCTTCGTCAAGGGTTTTCGTTATTTGAATAACTGATGTATGACCATGTACCTTATATTTTGCATTTTTTTGCAAAGAATAAACTATGTTATAAGATCGAGAGGAAAATGCCAACTTTTATATTGTACCTTGATCTGATGTTTTAAGACTATTGAATTCTGAATTCACTATGTAAGAAAACTTTTCATTTTAAAGTTGTATATTTCTCTCTGCACCATAACCTTAGCCTTAAATTCACGCCGAAGTTAACATTTATTGTGGATTAATTCCAATTAAACGTATTGGATAAATTGAAAAATTCAGCGATAAATTGATACCGCATTAAGTTTTAGTTTAAGGCAGGCCCATAAACTGGCAACTTGATTTTTCTGAGCTGATGGAACATTTGATGTAATATACGATGAAAACGTCGCCAAGAGAAACTGAAGACGTTTGCGTTCATAAAAAAGTCAGTGTCCTTCATATATTTTAGTCCGTTACAAAATCTAAATTAAACTTTTCTTATACCTCAAAGTGTTAAATGTACATGTCATACATCATGTTTTTTTCAAACTACCATTACATTCTGGTTTTATTCCAAAAATGTGTATTCTACGTTTTACATGCGTATAGTACACATTTTTCAGACGTTTGACATCTTTAGATTCATAAGCTCTGAAGCATTTTGAAGCAATTTTCTCAAAGTTTTCAAAAAATAATGTACAATTATTCCGGAATCTTCTCAGGGCAACATACACCGCTTCGTTATCAGGCTTATCCTCCAAAGAAGACTCTGCATCATCTGGAAGACACTTGTTTATAGGAGGATACTCACCACATGCCGCCAAAAATGTCCCCCCTACGGTGTTGGCACTTGCACCTTCCTGTCCCAAATTATCTGTCCCACCTGGGAAACCTGATAAGTTCTTGAACATAAACTTGCAGTTTTGACAAGGAGGTTTTTCGGTTTTATATCCGGCCGTAAACCAAAATGCTGTGGAATTCCAGAGGACTTTATGTTCAGTTTCCAGAGGCTGAAAGAATATAACTGCTTTCTTGAGGCTTTGTTTAAAATCACAAATTCTGTTGTACAAACAGAGGGGTCTTAAGAAGTGACTCACTGCCACTGATGATCCAACAAACCATTCGCCATTACGGGACACCCGCGCCAAGACCTTGGGTTTGAATGTGTTCTTTTGTCCAAGTCTACTTAACCAATCTTTTGCCTGAGTCATCACAGCGTTAGCATGACTTTCGCTGCCCTTTGGACCATCAGAACATTCTGCTATGTCACTTAACTGGAATTATACAAATATAAAAGTTGGCCATTATTGTTTTATCAGTGAGTACAATGTTCTAGTTCAATTTATGAATAATATTCACCTTTGTGGCCATACAATGAATTATAATACATACCTCCATGACTAGTACATTTTAGTTTGAATTTATCGCATCTTTTGAATGTAAAACATTGACAATACTCACACTGAAATGTACTAGTCATGGATATATGTATTGTCCGTATTAATTTGGAAAAATTAGCATAACGTCAAAACAGTGAATATTGTAACGCAGATTTTTGACTGGTTCGTAGGATAGGTTTCTCTTGAAATTTCAAGGTGTTGCAGTGAATCAATCTTAATGAAAGTTACAGACATTTTTATATACATTATGAAGATTATGTGAAGAGATTTTAAAAAAAATTCGTTCGAGTCGTTTTGGAGATATACAAGAAAGCGCTAAAAGTCCAAATTCTGAATGAAGTTGCACTTATACAGGTGGTGAGAAAACGGGTTAGATTTCAAGATCGCATGAACGAAAGTACACCAAAATTTCCTAGCATCAAAATATGATATTAAGCATCATTCTTACGCTACTTAAGAATAATTTGAGTCATTTATAACGTTTTCATTAAATAATCTATCACCGCTATTGAAAATTTAAGGTTTGAAATATATTTTCGTTTTAGTCGAATTCAAACATACAGAATTTTTTACTTCTTTCGGAGATTGTTTGCTAAACACCAAACTTTAAGTTCCTAGTGTTGGATTTTCAGTAGCAGGTCTAGATCACACAAAATTTGGCTTTTATCAATTTCAAAGTTTTTTGTTTATTGTTGTCATAGTAATATCGATTTTACTTAAAACTACATTTTCACAAATCTCAATCCATAGCCAGTTACTGGTAAAAATTTTATAGCGATCTGACAAGGAAAAAAACACTTTTAAGGCGATTGAAAAATATCCGTATGGCCTCTGAAAAAGTGTATCGAAACACCTTAATGAGTTGAATATCTTAAATCTCTAGTTCACTCAGGCTCCTAAGCATTTGAGCAGTCCCGGGCCCGGTTCCTACAAATATGGTATGCAACTCGAGCTTACAAAATGCTGTTGAGCCTTTACTCTGACGGATGCAGTAATAGTAGAAGACAAAATGTTACCTAAATAATTGACATAGGAAGGTAGAACGCTAAAACGGAACAAAATTATATTTTAATCCTGGATTAGCGCTAATCGGCATCGAACTGGGCCCAGAATACTAAATCCTTGAATATGGTAGGCTAATCGCGCTTTCCTAGCCTGTCCAGTTTATTTTCAGTGGAACTACGGTCTGGAATCTGCTCTTTAATTCTTTTAGTCATCATTGATTTGACTTTCGTGAGTTTTTTCAAGCGGAACTGTAGCCACGGATATGTTGATAATTCTTTTTTGCAATGCAGATCACACATCAGAAAGCTACCAAAGGAAAAGGCAACTTCTTCAGTCAGGTAAAATATTTGAAGGAGAAAAATATCCAAATGTTTGGAATGCCCTATTTTTATTGCCTACCCAGCTGGGCCTATCTTGACCGCTCCTCGGGATTGCCGGCTTAGTTCCACAAGAAGAGATTTTGTGTTGCTATATGATGAATAAATAAGCTTCGGTTCGGTGCGGTCAACCTTCCGTTCAGTCAGGATAGTTGAATACTGATCCTGTTCTCTCTCCCTTCCCCTCTCTTTTTTTGCTTTTATGGACATCCACTTCATGTCTGTCCATAAAAACCCATGATAATTTGGCCAATATCCCGCCTTCCTAACTTCACCGCTTGGTTAATAACTCAGACGTTTCGGTTTCGTCATGATTTAATTTTCAAGTTCAAAAATGCCGAGACTGAAATGAACTGTCAAAAATAGTTGGCTGAAGATTGGCTGAAGATTGAGATATAATACATAAGTAAACATAATAACTACTGTACATTGAACTTAAAATGGAGTCATGACGATACCCCGGAAATGCTGTTCGATTTTATTGTTGATTTGTACTAGTTTCATTATGAACAAATTTGTTGTATTAAAGCACACTGAGTCCTTCGCCTTGTCGCTTAATGTCTCTTTTTACTGTACTTTAATTTATTCAATTCCCATTTTTTTCAAATAGAACACGTTTTCGTAGTGGTGAGCATTTTTGGATATACGGTATTTGTATAATCCGTCTACCTTAACATTTGCATTTTCCTCGTCGTTAGCGGGGTCTTCTTGTTAGACTTCTGATTTGCGTCAATGGCCATGTGTTTGATTTTGATTACCAGTTTCAGTGATCTTTACAACCGTAGCGCAAATGATCCCAAATCCTTGTACAAGCTCCCAACTTTTAAAGTATGTATATTGGCGCTATCATCCCTCTCTTTTGGCCAAGAGGCGTTCTGTTGATTCCGTTTTCGTTTATAATTCAAGACCGTGTACTGAACCAAGGTAATGCGGAAATTTTCCACTCCTAAATTACACTGTTTCCCCGAATTGCGGAAACGTTTCCATTACTAAACATCAAGCATTCGACAATTCTAAAAGAAGGATTTGCATGGTTTTTTTTGGCTTTTAGAAGTGCCTTCCAAACTATTACAACAATGAGGTAAACTGAGTTTCGATTACAATATCAGGAATCTAAAACATAAATTCAACGAGTGCCAGCTGTTACTTGTCTAACAAGAACGGTTGAAGTATTAAGCAGAGAACTACCTGGAGAAATGTCTTTGCAATTTCAGCGTTTACTCGATATTTCAAGTTGTTTATCTCGTGAGGCATAAGGTAAAATCCGGATAGAAATTTTGGACAGGCCATTTCAAGCGTCGCACAATCGAAATTGCCGTCAATTCTAGGTAACACTGAGTCCGCCCTGACCTAAAGTTTTCAAATTTCGTAGTAAATAAATGGTACTTACAATTTCCAAGAGTTTGCTTCCAGGGTCAATGGCACATTCTTTCCCTGGAAGTGCATCTAGTTCTTCCACTGTCAATCCAATCTGCTGGCCTAGTGTATTGAGCTCCCTTACTTCAACAGCCCGTAGGTGGAATTTCAGATGCAATTTTAGGCATCCATAGATGTCTTTAAAACTTTCCTTCAGTCTCTGAGGTACATCTCTATTTCGAACTCTTTCTTTACAGTCTCCTAATAGTAGTAACAGTAGCGTGCACATATCACGAACATCACTTTCCAGTTTCTTCTCTATGCTAGTAACACCCTTCACTATTTCTTCTATGTATCGACGGACTTCCTCATCTGTAGGAGACGACATTTCAGCCTAGATACTATTTAAGAAGCACTTTCTTTGTGGAAAGCTATAAAGACTTGCGGTTTGAAGAAGAGGCAGCGTATAGAGAGCAAAATGACTTCTTAGCATCGAACGCAGTCAACCAAACTAAACTGTACTCTGCGAATTCGACTCGCTATTGATTATAAATCAACTCAAACGAGACGCAGGCGTCGCCATGCAACGCATAAGGTCTTGCTTTATTTATACCCTACGGATATACTTGGCCCCTTGCATAATCAAATAGTGTCCTAATACATCCTACTCTCCGCAAAGGCTCCCACTGGTTGGACAACAACATAATTCATTGAAAGGTAAAAGTCGGTGCAGAGTTCCCTGCACACTCTCTTTTCGTCTCTCGCCAACCTTCTAATGAAATAAAGAGGCCTTTTTAGAAGAAAGAGAGCTGACATGAGACACTTTCCTATATAAAATTTTCGCGTTCTGAGCAAAAACTCTTTATGCCACTGGAAGGCTGTGGGTGGTTTCCGGCGCGCTCACTCTATTTTTAGTTTTGTGAATTAGCTTGTGTCACGTTTGCTTATTACTCATGGAATTTGTTTGGAATTCTTTTGTTTATGACCATTGGAACCTCGGCAAGCTCCCAACTTTTAAAGTATGTATATTGGCGCTATCATCACTCTCTTTTGGCCAAGAGGCGTTCTGTTGATTCCGTTTTTGTTTATAATTCAAGACCGTGTACTGAACCAAGGTAATGCGGAAATTTTCCACTCCTAAATTACACTGTTTCCCCGAATTGCGGAAACGTTTCCATTACTAAACATCAAGCATTCGACAATTCTAAAAGAAGGATTTGCATGGTTTTTTTTGGCTTTTAGAAGTGCCTTCCAAACTATTACAACAATGAGGTAAACTGAGTTTCGATTACAATATCAGGAATCTAAAACATAAATTCAACGAGTGCCAGCTGTTACTTGTCTAACAAGAACGGTTGAAGTATTAAGCAGAGAACTACCTGGAGAAATGTCTTTGCAATTTCAGCGTTTACTCGATATTTCAAGTTATTTATCTCGTGAGGCATAAGGTAAAATCCGGATAGAAATTTTGGACAGGCCATTTCAAGCGTCGCACAATCGAAATTGCCGTCAATTCTAGGTAACACTGAGTCCGCCCTGACCTAAAGTTTTCAAATTTCGTAGTAAATAAATGGTACTTACAATTTCCAAGAGTTTGCTTCCAGGGTCAATGGCACATTCTTTCCCTGGAAGTGCATCTAGTTCTTCCACTGTCAATCCAATCTGCTGGCCTAGTGTATTGAGCTCCCTTACTTCAACAGCCCGTAGGTGGAATTTCAGATGCAATTTTAGGCATCCATAGATGTCTTTAAAACTTTCCTTCAGTCTCTGAGGTACATCTCTATTTCGAACTCTTTCTTTACAGTCCCCTAATAGTAGTAACAGTAGCGTGCACATATCACGAACATCACTTTCCAGTTTCTTCTCTATGCTAGTAACACCCTTCACTATTTCTTCTATGTATCGACGGACTTCCTCATCTGTAGGAGACGACATTTCAGCCTAGATACTATTTAAGAAGCACTTTCTTTGTGGAAAGCTATAAAGACTTGCGGTTTGAAGAAGAGGCAGCGTATAGAGAGCAAAATGACTTCTTAGCATCGAACGCAGTCAACCAAACTAAACTGTACTCTGCGAATTCGACTCGCTATTGATTATAAATCAACTCAAACGAGACGCAGGCGTCGCCATGCAACGCATAAGGTCTTGCTTTATTTATACCCTACGGATATACTTGGCCCCTTGCATAATCAAATAGTGTCCTAATACATCCTACTCTCCGCAAAGGCTCCCACTGGTTGGACAACAACATAATTCATTGAAAGGTAAAAGTCGGTGCAGAGTTCCCTGCACACTCTCTTTTCGTCTCTCGCCAACCTTCTAATGAAATAAAGAGGCCTTTTTAGAAGAAAGAGAGCTGACATGAGACACTTTCCTATATAAAATTTTCGCGTTCTGAGCAAAAACTCTTTATGCCACTGGAAGGCTGTGGGTGGTTTCCGGCGCGCTCACTCTATTTTTAGTTTTGTGAATTAGCTTGTGTCACGTTTGCTTATTACTCATGGAATTTGTTTGGAATTCTTTTGTTTATGACCATTGGAACCTCGGCAAGCTCCCAACTTTTAAAGTATGTATATTGGCGCTATCATCACTCTCTTTTGGCCAAGAGGCGTTCTGTTGATTCCGTTTTTGTTTATAATTCAAGACCGTGTACTGAACCAAGGTAATGCGGAAATTTTCCACTCCTAAATTACACTGTTTCCCCGAATTGCGGAAACGTTTCCATTACTAAACATCAAGCATTCGACAATTCTAAAAGAAGGATTTGCATGGTTTTTTTTGGCTTTTAGAAGTGCCTTCCAAACTATTACAACAATGAGGTAAACTGAGTTTCGATTACAATATCAGGAATCTAAAACATAAATTCAACGAGTGCCAGCTGTTACTTGTCTAACAAGAACGGTTGAAGTATTAAGCAGAGAACTACCTGGAGAAATGTCTTTGCAATTTCAGCGTTTACTCGATATTTCAAGTTATTTATCTCGTGAGGCATAAGGTAAAATCCGGATAGAAATTTTGGACAGGCCATTTCAAGCGTCGCACAATCGAAATTGCCGTCAATTCTAGGTAACACTGAGTCCGCCCTGACCTAAAGTTTTCAAATTTCGTAGTAAATAAATGGTACTTACAATTTCCAAGAGTTTGCTTCCAGGGTCAATGGCACATTCTTTCCCTGGAAGTGCATCTAGTTCTTCCACTGTCAATCCAATCTGCTGGCCTAGTGTATTGAGCTCCCTTACTTCAACAGCCCGTAGGTGGAATTTCAGATGCAATTTTAGGCATCCATAGATGTCTTTAAAACTTTCCTTCAGTCTCTGAGGTACATCTCTATTTCGAACTCTTTCTTTACAGTCTCCTAATAGTAGTAACAGTAGCGTGCACATATCACGAACATCACTTTCCAGTTTCTTCTCTATGCTAGTAACACCCTTCACTATTTCTTCTATGTATCGACGGACTTCCTCATCTGTAGGAGACGACATTTCAGCCTAGATACTATTTAAGAAGCACTTTCTTTGTGGAAAGCTATAAAGACTTGCGGTTTGAAGAAGAGGCAGCGTATAGAGAGCAAAATGACTTCTTAGCATCGAACGCAGTCAACCAAACTAAACTGTACTCTGCGAATTCGACTCGCTATTGATTATAAATCAACTCAAACGAGACGCAGGCGTCGCCATGCAACGCATAAGGTCTTGCTTTATTTATACCCTACGGATATACTTGGCCCCTTGCATAATCAAATAGTGTCCTAATACATCCTACTCTCCGCAAAGGCTCCCACTGGTTGGACAACAACATAATTCATTGAAAGGTAAAAGTCGGTGCAGAGTTCCCTGCACACTCTCTTTTCGTCTCTCGCCAACCTTCTAATGAAATAAAGAGGCCTTTTTAGAAGAAAGAGAGCTGACATGAGACACTTTCCTATATAAAATTTTCGCGTTCTGAGCAAAAACTCTTTATGCCACTGGAAGGCTGTGGGTGGTTTCCGGCGCGCTCACTCTATTTTTAGTTTTGTGAATTAGCTTGTGTCACGTTTGCTTATTACTCATGGAATTTGTTTGGAATTCTTTTGTTTATGACCATTGGAACCTAGGCAGGGGTAGTTTGCAGAACGCCGAATGGCCGCCGATCTGAAACTTGATTCACTTGTTTCCTAATCACCAAACTTCAGAGTCATTTGGCGTTTGGGAGCCGAGTTTGTCGTTTTGCAAAATACCCTTTACCGTTGGAATCTTGGTGGAACAATGAAGGGTGGGCCTCGTCCCCAGGGACTTTGGTCCCAGGTTGGTCGTCCAACTGTATCGCCAGCATGGTAACTAACCAGGTAAGAAGTAAGAATCACG